GAAATTAACCGCGTTATCACCGGGTCGCAAAAATCGAGCAAAGAGCGAAGATTTAAAGAATATTTCACGTTACGCAAACGCGGGCAGCAGGGTGAACGCGTTCGTTCGAAAAGCTGCGTTCGTTTACAATGCCCAATAATGTAATCTGATCATATAAAGTTTTATATGTATACAAAATGTCACCGATTAAATTTAAATAATTTATTAGTGCAACGTTTACGCGTAATCCGGGATAATATTTACGAGGGGTACGTAGGAGAAGGTCGACGCAAAAATAATGTTTAAACACGCAGAGGATGGGATCCGTAGCCAACGAACAATCGGTTGAAAAAAAAAAAAAAATAGTAAAAATAAAATTTAGAATCGGATGGGGAGGAACTAAATGTTTCCTACGTTTTTCTGAATTTATTTCAGTAAATTTAATTTTTTTGTTTCAAAATTTTTATTATATTACCATTGAATATTGTATAGTATTGCAATTTTTCAATTTCAAAACGGTTTACAGAGATCTAGCTTTATCTAATTTACCTATCGTCTTCTATCCAAGTATTGATTTATTAGTTCGAGCATGATTTCTAATCCATAATTTTTATACTCACGTATAATTAAATAATAACTAAGGTTATTGTAAATTATTATTTGTATAATTAATGTTATCAATCAAGTAAGAATGATGTAACTATAATAATATGTGGTTTCGGCTGACTAAATAAAGCTAAATTATAAATAATATATTATAATAACAAATGAAAATATTATAATTTGCAACGATGTTTTGATATATTATCTTATTTTACGTTTTATCAACTGGCATTTGGTAAATAAAAAATAAATTCTCTGAAAAATCTGTACAAGATAACATAGTCGTATCAGTATCTGATGAAAACGTAAATAAAGACAATGTACTACTGAAACACATATTTTTCGTCAATTTTTTATTCCGTCATCATCTATTTCACATAAATTGTGCACAGACTTGTGAGATAGATATACACACACAAAAAAAAAAAGTTTTCGAACGTAAGAATATTACAAAAAAAAAAAAAAAAAATAAGATAAAAAGTAAAAGTAGTTTCTTTTTGCATATAATTTGATGTATGAAAAGAGTTTGGATTTTAAAAGCAACTGTTATACAGACCCGCCAGAAAGACGACAAAAATCGTTTGAACACAAACTGTTATTTTTTAAGGGGGGGAAGGGTAGAGAGTTGAATTAGGATAAAAAAAAAGTCCACTTGACACGGCGGACCACTAATGGAATTCGCGATTGGTAGTGCGTGATAATATATTTAATACATTTATGACGTTTTTCTTGGGCCTGTGTCGGGCCGCAAGTAAAACATGTAGGTGGTGTTGCCGGAACTGCGATAAACGGGGTTTATTTTTCGTCGTCAAATCGACCACTTCCGCCGCCGAATAATGTATAATATGATTACAAAGAAAAAAAAATTATAATTATGATTTATTTTGAATTTATATAATAATTATATCATGAAAACAAATTTCCCCAAAAAACATATTGTAAAGATATTTCATCGATTGAACTCTTTTAATCTTTTTTTTTTTTTTACGTACAATACTTTTCACATTATCGCGATACGTATTATAGCGGTTGCTTGTAACAATTTAATTACGAGCAATTCAAATCAGTTTCATAGCATTGGTTTTTGAACGTTATCAGACGAGAGCGAAACGTTTCTTTTCCCATTGTAATCTCACCCAAGTCAGACTGCATGCTTGAGTTCTACACTTCGTACACGACCACAAACCCCCTAAATCAACGGTGCCCCACTGGTATAATGGACGGTTTGGAGGGAGCCGTGGCATCCGCGGACAAGGTAAGCATGTGTGTATAATATTATTACACCTATCGCTATCATTGTGACGAGCACTAGCTGTTGATGTTTCTGTTTCTGTTTTTGGATGCGATGGAATATTTCGGTTGTATAACTTCTAAACGAAATTTACAAAACGGATTACTTATTATTTCGGAGGACTGTTATATCATCACGGCTTGTTAATGATTCAGCACTGATATTGTGTTCTCGTTCCGTATGACCACAAGCGAACGATGTCATAATACCCGAACAAACACATACACATACACACACACACACACGTATTACAAGTCTGTACCAATTAATTACACCGTATTCAATAATTTAACCATAATGTATTCTAGTACTTATGTTAATGCGAAACGAATAAAAAAAATTAAAACATTATACGTACATTAAAAAATTTTAGTTTTAAAACCAATTTTACTCGAAAGTTTTTAAGTTTTTTTACTTATAAAGTTTTTGGGACATTCAATTTTCAAATGCATAAACTTAAAAATGAATAATACATTATCACGAAACCGTCTGCAATACGACGATGGAAATCTACTTTAAAAAGCTATCTCTCTGATGGATTTCCAGCTATATCAGCTTTATACAGAATCTGGCAATCATACAAAGCAAAACCCCTTTGAACTTTTTCCGACTTGTTTTTAAAGCCAGCTGGAAATGCGTTACTGATGACTGATATAGAATCGAGCGTAGATGTTGTAAAATTAAAATACTTCGTTGAAGATGATCAGACATTTGTAGAATCGTTGAATTTGCGAAACACTTTCTCTTTAAGTCCTTAACGTATTTCAAGAAACTTCAAAAAATCTTCAAACAATATTACTCCCAGAAGAATTAACTCTCAGCGATGAATAAGAAGAACCATTTCCAAATAATCAATGTTCAAAATATGTGTTTCAATAAAAAAAATGTCTTGTGTGTACTTGTGTGACTATATGAAACAAAAATCAATATCTTATACATATTATATGCACTCCAAAATATTTTATATTTTAAATAACATTTTCCGCGATGAATATGGAATAGGTTTTCTTATTTTTGCAAAAAAAAAAAAATTATCTATCTACGATGATTAAGTATAAAAATACGATTCTGAACACATTACGTGATTATTCAATAGTAAAAAATCCACCAGATAAACTACAATTCATATATTTTTGTAAACTATAATAATTTTTGGTTATAAGTCAATTGAATCAATAAATCAATATGAAATCCACCAAGATCGAAATTATTATATGGTTTTCAAATAAAAATTATACTATGCACCTTGAAATGATTTCGAATTTATAAATTATAAGTTGTACATTATTATTGTTTACATACTTTGCGTGCGTGTTTATTACACGGAAAAGTTCTGAAATACTTAAATTAACTGATTTTTACTTTATGTTTGACGTTTATTTTTACAACATCTATAAAACATCTACGAAGATAAATTCCTATATATTTTATTATGGACTTATTTGATTCAAACATATATTTCTGCTCGTTAATATATCATTCCAGTTTATATTTTTGATACCCCCATCGGTAACTGTAAAAAATAAAAACGTGATTTCGCGAACATGTTTTGGAGCATTTCTTCGTCGTGACGCGTCGTTTTTTACATAAAGTAAACGAGTTGAGCACACATATAAGCAATAATAATATAATGAATACAACAATCAGATTTTTAAGTCGATTATTTTTTTGAAACGATTTTAAAAGTAGTGGTTCAGCAGTTGTAATCTTATTTGTCTTGAAAATATTTGTTTTTCATGTCTAGTACGTATGGAAAAAAAGTTCTGAACTATCTTTTAACCGAAGTCCTTTAACCGAACAATATTACTAAGATAATACAAATCGAGAAAAGAAAACATGAACATTTGTTCGCATTTGGTGCAAAAGTCGAATTACTGATTTGAAGATTTAAACCGAAGAAAACACTTTAAATCACTGTATACCTAACAGTGAGTACATAAATAGGAGCAATAATATGTTGAACTAAAACTGGTGTTTTCAATAGTAAAGTTGTGATCGATAATGCTCCGGACTAAACACGAGTACACTTACGTATCGCACCTAAGAATATAATGTGAAAGCTATAAATATTATATTCCATAAAGTATTCGTCTGTAAATATACGCAATAAGAGCTGATGTTGCAAAGAGAGCAACGAAAATTTAACTTAATTTTTATTTTACTGAGAGTACCATAAATTTATGAAGCGTACATGGTCAAATATCGATGGTGATTATTATTTATTTTTAGGTGATTCTGTGATTAATTCTGGTAGAGAAACAATGCAAACAATGTACTGAAGACGCGGGCGAATTAGTAATCATGAGAATTTTCGAGAACTTTGCCTGAGAATCGGACGATAATAAATGCAAAACAACAAATTTATAAAAATGTGTTTTTCATTATTTTCTTATATACAGTAAGATAGTTGGCGGTTTTGACGTGTCAACGGAAAACGAGTTTATTCGTAACGATTAATGCATTTTTCAATATTTCTATTTTTTATATGCTAGAACATCGGATGAAAGCAGTTATTTTAAAACTTTCAAAAAAAATTAACTAATTGCAGAATTTTCAAAGTTTTGAAGTTCGTGGATAAATTCTTATATAAATATGTATACTGTTTATGTATAAAAAATTGTCTAATATTTGTGAAAAATGATTTTATTACAATTACCAGGGTTTAACATGTGTTCAGAAGTTCGTACTACTACAGTGTTTCTAGTTGACCGACTAGTTGGGTCGATCAGAAAAAACGAACAATCAAAAGATACTTTATATAAAAAAAAAAAAAAAAAACATTTCATCGGTTCGTTGAACACAACAACATAGATACAAATATAACTGTAGTCTATGAGTGGGTATCATTCTACGGATATAGAAGTATACCGTTTTTTTGATGAAAAGTGTGTACGAGTATATGTACTCGCATTATTTAATTATACTGAGTAATATTCAGAGGTTGAACTAGGAATTTTTACGCCCGGGGATGAATCCCCGTTTTCCACCCACTAGTTTCGCCCCTGGTAACAACGCATTTTTTCACAATGAGTACCGTTTTACATAGTCACATCGTATATAAAGCGCATGCCATTGTATGTTAGTTTTTAATAAAAGTGTTACTTAAAGGTATTCTGAATACGCTTACCGCAAAGTCTGTCGATACGTTCTCGTTTCTTTTCATCCTCTTCAGCTAGTTTTGCCGCCGACTTGACTCCCTCGCCAGACTTTTGAGATTTTTCCACAATGCCACACGCCCTTAGTACAAATGACGGTACCGTCTCCTGTTTCTCCTGTTTGGGTATCTCGACCAGCGTCCAGTATTGAGTTTCCAATCGGATGACTTCCTGTAGCAGCAACAAAAACAAACCAATAGAAGAAAACAACAACAACAACAAAGTAACTTGGTATTGTTAGTATTATTATTGTTATTATTGTTATTATTTGCCAACACAGACAAAATATCGAATTGTAGAGACACGATCGCTTGAAATCGCTTGCTGTATGTTTATATACCCTGGCAATAGATAATGAATACCGAAGTAATAGTTTTGTTATTATAGTAATTGTCAATAGGTATATTTTACGGTCTAATAATGAATTTATTTTGTAAGTGGATCTAAACATTTTTTTTATTTTGCTTTAAGACAATTATATATTTTTCCTTGCTATTATTTATTTTTAGTTATTTTTTATATTGAGAGAGAAAAAGCGTATTTCATTTTACAATAATAATAATGGCAATAAAAAAAATAAATAAAATTGTTAAGTCAAACCTTAATCATGGCCTTCAGGAGGTTGTACCTTTGGAAGACATTTCGCGTAGACTTACTCTCCGTGTACTTAGTCATTAGCGTAATTAGCGACTTTTTAGCTGTATCATAGGACTCTTCCAATCGAATTCTCACTGCTCTCAATCTTTCATTCGTCTCTATGACTTCTTCCTTTGTCTGGCCACCTAAAATTTTTATTATATTTATAGTTAATATGACGTTTTATTCAATGTTGTTAAATATTTCTTAATACATAATATTATTTCAGTTACGGTTTTTATTATGGTAGAAAAATGAAGCAAAAGTATTTTTTGTGTTTCTTTATAAAAAAGGTCATATCTTTTAATCATATAAATTTAGTAATGACTATTTAAGTGAATTTTTCTGAATAATTGTTTAAATTTTTTCAAAAAAAAAAACCTTATAATCAATAATGTATAAAACTATAAAGTATACTAAAACTATTTTATTTGATTTATTTTTTATTTCAAAATAATTTTATTATATACATACATATATATATATATTTAAGTATTCTTTTATTAATATATTTTTAAGTGAAAACAATTTATCTATAATAATTATATTATGTCATAACATTATTTTTACATTTATAATAATAATAACTTTGTTAAATTAAAAGGATTATTTACTCGACAACTAGTTTTATTTTAGTTTATCTCTTTACGTTACAATAGATTTATTTTGCTATTTAAATATAAGTACAAATTAATTGGAGGAAATAAATGATTTAAAAACAATAAAAATATATGTATTATTTAAAAAAAATAACTATTTATCGACTTATTCATAATTTATTCTTTTTCACAGGACTAAGATTTATATTATTTAATACTACAGTCATATATAAGTATTCAATAAAATGGCAATGTACAATTATGAAAACAATTTTTTGTCGCACAATTGAATTGTATTATATCGTTTTTAATTGTATTTAGTTCATATATTTTTGAATAATCAATTATTTTTAAATAACTAATTAGAATGCATTTAGAATTCAAGATTTTGTTAAAAACCATTATTTTTACAATCATGTTTACAATTTGATTATCCAATCATGATAGAAAAATGTAAAAAAACCATTTTAAGTAGCTATAATCTATATTCAATGTCAAACTATAGTGGTTTTTGAAACCTTATATTGGCCTTTAACGAATGCATTAAAAAAAAAGGAAAAATCATTGTACAATCAATATATTCGTATACATTATTATAGGTCCTTTGGTGTGCATAGAATCTTAAATATAAGGCTTACACTACGAACAATTTTACTGTAGATTTTGATTTAATAATGTTTTTGATTTAAAGTGTTTTCACGTTACATTTTCTGAGTTTCTCAATGAAGTATTAGGATTATTAGGTAGTCGATTTCGTTTCATCATTATTTTTACTCTAGAACTATTATAAAGGGTTTTCAAACAACGAATAATTTTTAAATTTTATTGCTCATGTTATGCTTTGAAAATATAATATTGTTTTAGCATCATTATATTATTTGAGCATAAATTGAAAAATAATATATATAACTGTACTTAATAATTAATACATCTTTAATTTAATTTATTTTCTTGTTTGATAATCATATATCGCAGTACAATTATATTTACAGTGTTTTAGATTTATGATTTGTTCTTTTTTTTAGGTAAATAAAATTGTATTATATAGCACACAGTAAATAAATGAGAAAAATATTTCTTTTTAGTAGCACATATTAGTTTCACATATAATATGCTTTAAATAATAGTTCATTAAAACATTTCATTTCAGTCTGGTAAATCATTATCCGGAACACGAATAAGCTATTTACAGTATTTTTAACTTATAAAATAGTCCGTTAAAATTATTTTTCTCAAATGTGTTTCATTATGTAGTGTATGTCATGTACGTGCATTTGTAGATTTAAGTACTGTATTTAATTTCAACGCTTTTAATATTATTGCCATTGTTTCAATTTTTTAAAATCAGAGTGTTGGAAAGCAACGGAATTCTTCTTAACGGGTCCCGAATACTATTTTCGAAACCTATGCTTAGTCAGAAGATAATATGAGTAAAAATCATAATTTATCCGGTAGTATCCTTGATTTTAAATCAAATCTCATCAATCTAAAGAATAATCAGCTCTTATAAGCTGTCGGATTTAATTTCAATGTTCAATTCGATGTTCATTCTCATGGAACGAGTAGCAATGAAATCAACAGAGATCCAAAATAATCACGATGGTGCAGATAGTACCATGGATTTTAGACTCTTTTAACGAGACCCGTTCCGACGTCTCTCACGGAAATCGCATTCCCAAAATAGTTCTATCATGAAATGAATTCAAGCTTATTCAACAAAGCGCGTAACTTTTGTTGAAATGAAATTCAGTTATAAAGCACCCACTTTAATTATAATATTATTATCTTGTTTATTTTGAATCAGTCAATTGCTGTGGATGTATTATATACACATTTTTTGTTTCAACTGGAAATCGTGCTTGTGCTAATAAATCCAGTTCATTAACGTGCGTCGATTTACCGGCTTATATACTTTCACATACCCTGAAATATTTTACCCGGTGCCTGTGTTTAATTCTTGAATTGCAGTAGTTATGAAGGTCGGAAAACAAATGATTGCACTAAGTTTTCTTAAATCTCTACGACCATGAGAGTATGTATTGCAACTACGAGGCACATTTGCGGTGCCACGTTTGGGCTTAAAGCTGAAGGAGAGAAGTAAACCGTTATCACCAATCACATAACATTCCATTTTATAATGTTTATTTGTGCATGTGGCTTAAACATTTTAAACTACTTTTGAAATAGGAATGTGGCTAAGAATAGAATCATAGTATTAAGATGAAATTCTATCAATACATCATATTTTCATAGAAATATAAAAAAAAATCACTTTCTTAGCTACTCCTATAAGGTTGACAAGGACGATTGGATTGATTTTTTTTTATGTTGTTTATTTGCGCTGTACTAATTATTTAATTTACAATTAATAATCAAAAAAAAAAAAAAAAAAAAATTGTAATTTATTTAATAATTAATTTTAATTTTTTAGTAAAAATACAATCGCTTAGACTTTTATTTCGTTGTGGAACTCATCACTAAGCCATTCATTATGAATACAATTAAGACAGAGTAAGAGTGAATACATTTTTCTTTGAATGTTCTAAACAAAATATTTATGAAGATCTAGATGTACATGGCTCATAGTATTTAAAAAATGAATGGATTAAATTCCGTGTACGCCATAATTTTGTCTTAATAATACACCTATGACGATTGTACATTACACGTAATTAATTTTAATTTTATATCGTAGAAATTTCGTCTTCGTGAAAAAAAAATAATAACCGTCTTCGAGTAAATTTTTAAGAGACACGATGTGAGAACAGCGTGCTTACGGATTACATGTGACTAAATTGATCTCAAATGCATTTGTAACGATATGTCATCGTAGAAACGCTTTATCGGCTATAGCTATCAATCTGAGCTAAAACATAATGCAATATAGAGGCGAATGCAAAATTCATGCAGTACATGCTCATTTATATCGAGAAGTTTAGTTGAAAACAATACAGTATGATTTGATAATAAATATTTATGGTACTCGTACATTGCAATAACTAGAATAAATAAACATGTATAAGATTATTTTTATTTATGAGCTGAAAACAGCACGTGAATATTTTAACGAGCATAATATTATAAGTAACATTAAAATATTTTATTATTTTTGATGAAAAAACTAAATGAAAAGTCTCCGTAGGAATGTTTACAAATAATCGTAATTATTGTCATTAGGTATATTTTTAATCGGTATTGTAATTAACTAAAGAGTAACTAACTTAAAGAGTAGAGTTTTAATTAAACGAAAAATAAGTGGTATTTTTACATCACATTTGATATTTTTTTTAAGCTAGTCGCTATTAGTCGATAAAAAATAAAACTCTGTGGGTTTAAGATATTTATGTTCTAAATAATATTACCCAATGGTTTGTATCTTATTTATATTTTAAATTGACTTCCAAGTTCGATGATTTTTTTTCATGTCTTAAAATATTTTTCTCGTATTATGCATAAAACCGTAAAGGATACAAACGAAATATTTACATTTTTATGTTTACTTATTATTACGTTGACGGTAATACGTAATAATAAAATAATCTGCTTATACGGTTCTACATGTATTATTGTATGAATATATAATATTACGATAGATATTTATCGCTTAAGATTTCATAAAATATGAACAAGTCTTATTATTATGGGCTGATGTAGGCGTAGGTTTATATCGTTGCACAAACGCCAAATACCACATACTAGTATTTCTAATGAATCGTCATAATTTTATTACGATCATTTACGGTACAGCGGTGATTTGAATGGCGTTTAAAAATTATATAAATATTTAATTGAATTATTTAAATAGTGATTACACTTAATACTGCTGCGCGATAAAAAATATAAGTAAACGATCGTGCACCGTACAACGGGGCTAGGTACATTTTATAGTTGTTTTACAACTTACACGGGTCGTCAGTCAGAGTGCGTTGTTACAGCTTAATCTTTTTCCATTCCATTGACTAATGTTTACGGTAGTATAACATGTAGAATATCTCGTGTACGTTTAGCGATTATACATGAATAATATATACTTGTCATCGATCATAATAAGCGAACCGAGAGGAATAGACATGTCGATGGGATTAGGTCTGAGCAGGATTGTATAACTATAAAAAACAGCTAAGCCCCTGAAGTAAGATTATTTTAATTATATATTATACACTATAAAAAGTATTAATTATTTTTTTTATTAAAATAATTATCGCAAATGAATCGTTGCACAACATTAAGATACAAGAACTTAGTTTTATGTATTTATTTATTAATATGTGTTTATATTATATTTAAACAATTATGTACTTATTGTAATTTTATATTCAATTATTTCTAAAATCTAGCAAGATTCATATTGTTCTTCGTGATATATATATATATATATATATATATATATATAGTATACAAGTACTTTTGCGTTGAGTAATAAAAATTATATAAGGTAATAAATTACGCGCGATGATTCAATTGATGTATAAAAGTGAAAAACGTGCTGTGACCGTCATGATATGTACAACTAATGTTTTAAATTTGTATTGTTTTTAAACGGTCAT